GTGACTCAGATGCTGGCAGGTGCTGGGTGGACCTGTGAGATGTGACACTGGGAGGTACCGGGTGGACCTGTGGGATGTGACTCAGATGCTGGCAGTTGCTGGGCGGACCTGTGGGATGTGCTCAGAGATTGGGTGGGTGGGCTCGTGAGATGTGCTCACGTGCTGTGTGTGTCGGGGGTGTTTGGTGGACCTTTCACTGGAAGTTTGATTTAGACACTGGGTTGGTTCAGTGGAACTGGAGGATGTGCTCAGAGACTAGGTGGGTGGGCCTGTGCTCAGACAGTGGGTGGGTGGATGGACCTATGGGATGTGTTAAGATGCGGGATGGGTGGATGGAACTGTGGGATGTGCTCAGATCGGATGCATGGATCTGTGGGTTGTGTTCAGACACAGGCGGGTGGACCTGTGCGGTATGTTAAAAGCTGGATGTGTGGATAGAATTATGGAATGTGCATGGGTTGCGCTCAGACTCTGGGTGGGTGCGTGGGCGTGTGGGAGGTGTTCAGACACAAGGTGAGTGGATGGACGTGTGGGACGTGCTTAGAGACTGGGTGGATGGACCTCTGTGTGAGTGGAACCGTGGGACGTGAATTGGCAAATGGAACTGTGTAGGTGGGCGGTGTATAGACCTGTAGGGTGTATTCACACGTGGGGTAGGGAGGGAGTGACTGGGGAATGTGCTCAGACACCGAGTGGATAACACGTGGCAGGCAGATCTGTGGGCTGTGCTTGGTCACTGGGCGGGTGGGTAATTGGACTAGAGATTATGAGGAGGAATCATCTGTGATGCCAGATGGACAGATGGCCCTGCCCACAGGGCCATTGCTCTGACGCTGAATGGGTGTCTGGGCAGAGTGTGTGACGTGGCCAAGGTCCTGGGAATAACTCCTAACAAGGTTCTACTCACAAGATGAAGGTGAAGAGAATCCTAGAGGTGCTTTCTGAGGGAAGTCACCCTGTATAGTTTGGGGGGTCTCAGTAACCTCCAAGTGAGTTTTGCATATTTATGTTTTAGGTTGTTGTATCTCACATCAGTAGCAAGAAAAGATGTTTTTGTATGGCAGCACTTGTCCATCTGCCCTCCGTGTTGAATTGACCTTATTTTTCACCCCCTTCCCATCCCTGATTGTCGGGGTGCTATATGCTGTATGGGACCTGCCATCTGCCTCGCGAGACCCTTCTTCACTCTGTCTTTTGCTGTTCAGCCACCCTTTGAAATCTCTTTATTCATGGATTGTTCATTTCCATGAGTTCTGTGAAATGCTGGCTAGCTAGCATCCCTGAGCAGCTTAATTATACTCACTGCCAGCCATGGTTTTTGCTGGCTTTGCTTTTCTCTGTCACTTGATGTTGGTGTTTCCCTTAGCTCAGAGGTTGGTTCTTGGTGGTGTGCTCAACATGGTCCTTGAGTCCCTGCCGTCCCCTGTGGCACAGCTGTGTTGGCTCACTGCCGGCTGCTTGCAGGGAGGGAACCACACAGCTGGCCAGTGTACAGCCTGTCTTCGTCAGTGCTCATGGGACAGTCAGGAAATCAGGGCGCAGTCGAATGTTTCTCCACCCTGCCCCTTATGGCGGCCCATATGAAATGCCTGTATATGACAAGGAGCCCACTTTCCTGCTCTTGACCGCCCTGTCCAGGGGTGTGGGACCTGTGTTGCCCCCACTGTGGGGCTGTAACTGGATGCTTCCCCTCTTCCCCTAAAGCTGCTCTTTGTCCCTAATACTCGCCATGACAAAGCATCTCACGGGAACCACTCCCACCTCTGTGGCTGTTCCCTCTAGCACATTTTAACCTGTGACTTTGATCTTCCTTCAATCCTATGTCAACTATTTTGTTATCTTATTCTGAGGATTCTTCATGGTTCTTCCATTATTTCAATGCGGATGTAGAGTTACCTGTGTTTTAGCTTTTCCAGTCACGGTCAAGAAACTAAGTAAGTGAGCCTCAGGGCCCGGGAGGGACATCTGGAGCCAACAGTACCCTCACTGGGCCTCTGGTCTACAGTCCGGAGTCCCCAGCCCCCAGTACATATCTGCCCCAGACGCTCTGCTTCCTCTTCCATCTCCAGCTGGGAGCTTGCCCAGCCAGGCATCGCTTTGCTTTTTTATGTTTTTTCTACCTAAGTATCTCCCAAATCTAAACCTGTCTCACTGCCCACACCGAGTCAGTTGTCGGGCCCCCATCAGGCTTTAGCCCATGGTGTTGTTGTAAGGTGCTGTTGAGTCAAGTGCTCAGAGTGACCCTGTGAACAACAGATCTGAGCCCTGTCCTATCCTGCACCAGCCTCTCCATCCCTAATACACTTGAGCCCATTGTTATGGTCACTATGTCAGTCTACCTCTCGAGGGTCTTTCTTTCACTGAAGTCTGTGAGATGAAGCTTCACCATCTTTGCCTCCAGGGAGCACCCTGGTTTCACTTTCTCTACAACATGCTTGTTCTTTTGGCAGTCCGTGGGATATTCAGAATTGTCCCCCAACACCACAACTGAAAGGTATCTGTTCTTCTGACATTCTTATTAATTGTCCAACATTCAGATGCATAGCAAGTAATTAAAAAAATCAATGATGGCGGGCTCTGGTGGCCTAGTGGCAAGAAGCTGTACTGCAGTCCCTGAGGTGCACGGTTCAAATCCACCAGATGCTCCGCTGAGAAGGAGGGACAATCTCCTCCTATACCAGTCAGATTGCTTTGACGGTGCACGCACGCACACACACACTTAAAAAAATATAAAAAAAAAATCAATGGCTTGAATCAGGTCCACCTTAGTCTTTAAACTAAAATCATTGCTCCTCAGTATTTTGGAGAGGTCATTAACAGCAGACTTTCTCAGTACAACACATCTTCTAGTGTCCTAACTGCTGGTCCCATGTGTATTGATTGTGGATCCAAGCAAGATGAAATTGTTGACAAATTCAATCTTTTCTCCATCTGTCATGATGTGGCCTGTTGGCCCAGTCGTGAGAATTTTTGTGTTCTTGGTGTTGAGATGTAATCCATAATGAAAGTTGCAGTTGTTGGTCTGCAGCAAGTGTTTCCAGTCCTCTCCACCTTCAGTACGCATCACACCCTTCAGTTGTGTCTTCTGCAGGTTGGTTGATGAGTCTCCCTCCGATTCTGATGCCACATTCCTCTTCATAAAGTCCAGCTTCATGAATAATTTGCTTGGCATACAGATTGAACAAGTAGGGATGAAAGAGCCCTGGTACACAGCTGTCTAGATGTTAGCCTCCGGTCCTCTCATGTGCTCAGTCTTCTCTGTCCCCACCCCACAGCTGCCTCCTGACTGGTTTTCCAGCCTCTACATGTTCACCATTCCAACTCATTTTCTTCACTGCTGGCCAGAGGTGTTTACTGAGAGTGAAACCCTTTTCTTTTTCACATCTCTTCACTAAAGCTTTTCTAGATCCTGGTCAGAAAGAAATCTCAGTTCTGCTCATAACATTCAAGGACCCTGTCTCCTGCTTTCCCCCATCACTTTCCTATTCAGGCCATTCTCTTTCCAGGAATGTGGTTCGTTCTCTCTCTTTAATAAATAAAGTTCTCATGTAATTTTGATATAAAAATGTAAAATGTATTTCCCCCCTGTACATTTTCAGATGTAGCTGGTAGAACACGTCTGAGGTGTATAGAAATAACCAAAGAAAAATTTGAAGAATTTCAAGAAGAAAACTTGTCTTTAAGCCATATAAATCAAACCCTTGCCCATGAGTGTGATGTAGTGAAGCAAGCAATGAAAGAACTACAAGTAAAACTTAAGAAATTGGAAAAAGAAAACAGAAGACTGAGAAAGGCTGAGAAAACATCCTCTCAGGAAGGTTCCCAGGAAGGTTGGGACAAGTGCACTTTCTGTTATTAAAAGAGTGAACTTCTCTTTCCTGTCATCTGTTCACTGACTTTTTGTTTTGAGAGTTAATACCTTTATGTTGTTGCATTTGTAGATTTTTCCACCTTATTGTTGCTGCTTTTATGTTACATTTAATGGTCTTATATATTAGTATCATTAAGATGTTAGAATTTGGTTTCACATATTATGTCATTATTCTTAATTTTAAAATATATTTTGTTGTTGTTGAGAATGCAGCAAAATGTGCACTATTTCCACAGTTTTAGCCTCCAACTCAGTGGCACCAGTTAGATCCTTCAAGTTGTTTCATCATTCTCACCTTTTTCCTCGTTTATTCCTTTCCGATTAACATAAACTTACTGCTTTTTAAGGTTCCTATCTAATATTCAGTTTCTATTGTCAATTTGATGTCATAGACATGGTTCTTAAAAGATCATAATGCTCAAGACAGACTTTTTTTTTTAAAAAAAAACAAACACAAAAACCCCACTAGTTAAGCTAAACTGTTGTTGATTTTAAAGAATTGTCTCAAGGCGGTTGTCTCAAGTTTGAGGGAGTCAGCCAACCTTCATGACTCCAGGAAATCTGGAGTCTGTGAGAATTTGAATTTCTGTTCTGCATTTTCACCCTTTTGACCAAGATTCCTCTATGAAATATTTGATAAAAATGTTCAGTAATGGTAGCCAGGCGTCATACAGTTCTGTACTGGAACCTAAGGAGGTTTAAGGAAACATTTAGCCACACATTCTATATCCACTTTCTGTTGTTGACTCTCCTCCTTTTGTTGTTCAGTGCTGTTTAATGGCCTTGGATGTTGTTAAATTGTCACAGTTTTATGTATGTTTTGGTTGTTGGATTTTTGTCAGATATAGGATTTCTAATGATAGAGGATTTCCAGAGTCTCTCAGTCAGTAACTTTCTTTTAACTTTTCTGGTAAAGTCTTCTGATGAGCAAGAGTTTCTCATTTTTATGAGATTCCATATATTTGTCTTTTGCTATTTTCTGCTTTTATTATTATATCGCATAATCCATTGTTGAAGGCTAGAACTGTTAGTGTTGCCCTTGCTTGTCCTTCTAAGAATTTTACAGTTTTGGTTTTAACATTTAGATTCTTAATCCGTTTGAATTTGTTTTACGTATGGTGTGAGACAAGGGTCATGTTTAATTTTTTCTGCATTCAGAAATCTAATCTTCCCAGCACTGTTTATTGAATAGATTCTTATTTCTTTATTAAATAGACTTTGCATTCTCATCAAAGATGACAGATGTAGTAGATACATGGGTTTATTTCTGAATTCTCATTTCTCTCTATGCCCATTGGCAAGTATACCAGTTGTTGTTGTTAATTCCCAGCTTATGAACATATAACTTTCTAAGTGTGTCTTTAATTTGAATTTGTAGGCGTTGGAAAATGTTCATACAGATCTTATTTAGCTTTGTTTTTGTTCAGAGAAAGACAGAGTATTTAAAAACTATACAAGCAAGTGAAGGTGATTATAATGGAGAATTGTTGTAAGCTCTTTCTTTCTGTTCTGGTCTTTGTTGTTTTATTTTCTTCTGGTGGATTTAGGCTTATGTTGTTCTTCTCATTCTAGTTCCTGGGCTTGTCAAGTTAGGATGTTGATTTGCAATCTCTCCTAATGTTTCCTGTTGGCATTTCAGGCTGTAAGTTCTGCTCTGGTGACTATCTTCCCTGCCTTTCTTAAGTGTCCCTGTGCTGTGCTTTCATTGTCATTTAACCCTAGGAAATGTGTTATTCCTTTTTGACTTTCTAAACTACTTGGGTAGGTTTTTTCTTTGTTTGATTGTTTTAAAAAGTATTGTTTCATTTCCATATGTTTGTATATTTTCTCGTTTTTAAATCTTTGTTTTCTGTTGTTGATTTCTAGCTTTGCTATTTTGGATTGAAAGACATCGTCTCTATGGTTTCAGTTTTTTTCAGTTTATAAAGATTTGCTTTGTGACTTATCAAGCGATCTATACAGGAGGATGATCCATGTGCACTGAAGTATAATGTATATTGTGTTGTTTTGGAATGGAGAAGCTTTTTGCATATTGTCAATTTTGCCCTTCTTTGTATATGTAATATTTTCTCAGTTTGTTGATAATTCAACTAAATCTGTATTTTTCTTTTCTAACTTTTGTCCTTGGTATCAAAGCCTTTTTAACGCAAAGATTATATGAATATATACTAATACTTTCTTTATATCCTTTTAATTTATGTAAGGCAGTATTAGGGTTGCTATACATTGCAGGTGACTCAGTGGCACATCACAACAATAACATTCTATGACAGGTTTGGAAGCAGGAGTGGCATCCACTTCCTAAAACAGATGCCTCTGGGAACTCTATGAACTTTGATAAATGTTGATAGTTTTAGAGGGGCTTTAGGCCTTTTGTTCATAGGGTCACTATGAGTCGTGCTTGACTCGAAGGCAATCAACAACAACAAGGCAAAATTATAGTTCCAAGTAAGATACTATGATTTTCTTCATATGTCTCTAGATATTTCTTGTTCTAGGCACATTTCAAGACATATATGTATATATAATAATATTTGTGTGTATATATGTATATATTTGTATGCACATGTGTTTGTGTTTATATATACATGTATATATGAACATATATGTACATACATAAATATATAATCCGAAACAATGACTTTAAATTTTATTTTCATTTAAATTTTTATTTTAAGCCACATGCAAACATTTCCAAGTTAATGTTGACTGTTCAATGTCTAAAAACTTTATTTAACTTGTATTCATTTGTATATGTATATATTTACTATCAGTTTCCTCTATGAGTCTGAAAGGAAGAGGCAAATGATTAGCAATTGATATAAAATTTTGGTAAATTTGACTAACTGTCTTATCTTACAGTATTAAGTTATTGCTTGCTTTATTTATCTTCAGATTCAGCTGTGCCTGAATTACTTCGTCTACGAAAACAAGCAGGAGAACTAGTGGATGAAAATGATGAGTTGAGAATGACTGTCCATCGTCTGAATGGAGAATTGAGTAGATATCAAACCAAATTCAGGCATTTGTCCAAAGAAGAGGTAATGTTTCCAGTTAAGGAAAATCTGTTTTCAGATTTTTAATGTTTGCTCCTGAATTGATTCACAGTCCTGAAGGGCTCTTAACTTTATAGTTTGAGATGAAAAGGATACATCTAAAGCGAGATGTTGGTCTTTCCTTTCCTCCCTCCCTCCCCATCGCAAGCACCAGGATTGTTTTTTGCTGTATTTGATCATAGAACTTTCTTTTTGGAAGTACTACTCAGGTTTAACCTGTTTTTAAAATAGCAGCTTGAGATATAATTCACATACAACAAATCTCAGCCATTTGAGTCTATAGTTCAATGGTTTAATATATTCAAATTTTATAGCCATCACTACAGTTAATTTTAGAGCATATTTCTCACCTTAGCAGGATACCCTGTGCTCATTAGCAATGATTTTCCCATCTCTGCCTCCCCTGGCCTTGAGAACCACTAAACTGCTTTCTGTCTATCAATTTACCTATTCTGAACATTTCATAGAAAGAGAATCATATAATATGGTCTTCTGTAACTGACTTCTTTTACTTAGCATAATAACTAAACAGCAACTGAAAAAATCCATGTCTTGAGGCCACACAGTTTTCTTACTCTGTAGGTAGAAAACTCAAACTCATTGCCATGGACCCAGAACGACTCAGCTAACCCTCCATTGGGTTTCTGAAGCTGTACACTGACTGCACTGAATGAGTGTGTACATCTTGGAGTGGCTGATGAATTCAATAGATGCTTGCTTTTTGGTAATGGAAAAGTTAGCACTGAATGTGAGTAAAGTGAGCGTAGCTTGGCTGAGTAAACAGGCTAACTAAGATGTCTAGTGAATTAAGGCACATTTAATAATTGCTATATGATTTTTCAACAATCACCAAAAGATTCCAATTTTTCTCCTCATTTTTGAGTGACTTCCCACCTGAGGGGATTATCTACAAGCATTATTCTTCTATTATTCATTGGGTTTTCAAAGAAGTGGATGGTCAGGCCTACTTCTTAGTCTGGATGCTCCATTGATATCTGCCCACCGTGTATTACCTTGCTGGTACTTGAAATGCCAGTGGCATGGCTTTTAGCATCACAGCAACATTCAAGTCACCACAGTATAGCAAACTAACAGACAAGTGTGGTGCCCATAAGAGCAATCTATAAAATAACAAGCTTGCATGCTATGGGAGATAGAAAACAAGCTCTCTGGCCTGGAACAGTCTGTCTGTCCTGAGGTTGGAAGGCACTGGGGGGAAAAAAGAGAGAGAACAACAGCTGCAAGCATCCATTGACAATTGGACCATGGAATATACAAAGTACAAATCTAGGAAAATTGGAAGTCATGAAAATGAAGTAGAACACATGAAGATGACATTCTAGGCATTAGTGAGCTGAAATGGACTGGTATTGATCGCTTTGAATCAGACAGTCCTATGATCTTTTATGCCAGAATGACAAGTTGCATTGCTGCATTCAGAGTCAAAAAGAACATTAGAAGATCTACCCTGAAGTACAATGCTGTAATAGGATACTCTCCATACACACACAAAGAAGACCTGTTAATACAACTATCATGTAAGCATACTCACTACCACTAAAGGTAAAGATGAAGAAATTGAGAGTTTCTACCAACTTTTGAACCCTGAAATTGATTGACCATGCAGTCAAGATGCATTGATAATAATTGGTGACTGGAATGCAAAAGTTGGAAACAGAAGAACTGGTAATTGGAAAATTTGACCTTGATGTGAGGCTGGATATAATGATTGCATTTTGTTGCAATAATTTATTCATTGCAAATACCCTTTCCATGAAACATAAATGTTCACATCACCAGATGGACTGCGCAGGAATCAGATTGACTATCAGTGGAAAGAGTCGATGGACAAGCTCATTATCAGTAGTCAAAACCAGACCATGGACTGCCTGTGGAACAGACCATCAATTACTCAGGTGCAAGTTCACCATGAAGCCAAAATGCAACCTTGAGTTTCTCACAATCAAATGTAAAAACCATCACAAGAATAGATATGATACATTGAACACTAATGACCAAAGGTGGGAGATGGCATCAAGGATATCATCTATGAAGAAAGCAAAAGGTAAGTTGCAAAGTAAAGACAGGAAAGAAAAAAGCCAAAGTAGATGTCAGGAAAAACAGAACTTTACACCAGAATGTAAAGAAGCCAAAACAAAGGAAAGACATTCTGAAGTAAGAACTGAACAGAAGATTTCAAAGAGCAACCCAAGAAGACAAAGCAAAGTATTAAAACAAAATGTGCAAAAAGCTGGAGTTAGAAAACCAAGAGGGAAAAACACACTTGGCGCTTCTAAAGCTCACAGAACTAATGAACCAAGTCAAACCTCGCATTGTATACTTGATCCTGAAGGATCCTATGGACCAAGTCTTGAATGATGCAGGAAGCATCAAAAAAGATGAAAGCAAAACAGAGTCTTGTTGTACCATAAAGAATTGGTGGACACGGGAACATTTCCGGAAGTAGCATGTGGTCAAGAATCAATGGTAAGGAAGTACAAAGTCCACGCTGCACTGAGAGCATTGGCAAAAATAGAGCCCCAGCAGTTGATGGAGTACCTACTGAGGCATTTCAGCCAACAAGTGTAGCTCTGACCAGGCTCACTGGTTTATACCCAGAGATGTGGAAGACAGCTATCTGGCCAGAAGACTGGATGAGATCCATTTGTGTTCCCCTCCCTCCGTTTTTTTGTTGTTGGTTTTGTTTTGTTTTTTTTTAAGTGACCCAACAAAGTGCAGAAATTAACAATGTCATTAATATCAGATTCAGGCTTTTATAGTATGGCTAAATTAACATTTGAGTAAGGATTATTCCAGGTTCCCTATAACTAGAATCTAAACCAAGCCTTAAGAACATCACACTGAACCATGAGCATCTTTAGATGTATTGAAAGAAAGAAAGAAAAAAGACAACTCACAAAGCTTTTTAAAGGTTGGGTTTTTTTTAAATGTTGGTTTGCTTACAGAGTACCCATAAAACTTTAAATGAAGAAAATAAAATTCAAGCATTCAAGTCCAGCCCCATTTAAAAACTACTGGACATATTCCTGATTAGAGTTGAAAGAAACTTGGCTACTAAATGCGACATGTGGCTCCAGATTGAGCATTTAAATGAAAAAGGACATTAGTTTGGAAATTGGCGATATTTGAATATATTACCTTAGACTAAAAAAAAATCTTTTATTAAGTATTCATTTCCCAGCTGTCACAATTTTACTGTGGTTAAGCTAAAGAATATTCTTTGATTTTGAAAATACACATTGAAACATAGAAACAGTATTATGTCTACAAATCATACTCAAACATTTCAGAAAAAAACTATTCCATCATCTGCAACAAGTACAACACTTTCATACAGATGCATAAGTGGCTGATGAATCATCTCAGTTAAGAATATTTGGGTGATGAAATGTCAGAGAAAGTGTGGTTTAATTTGCCTTCATTATTTATTTTGTTCTTAGATCTTAAACATCAAAGGTCTCCCAATGAAGGGTCCTACACCACCCTGGTTGGTAAGTGAAAAGTCATTTGTTTAATTTCAGACCCATATTTTCTGGGGTATATTTGAATCATTATTGAAATGATTTTAAATTAAGTGTTAATTTTCTGCTCGTGTTTCCCTGTGAGGAATGTATTAATCCTCTTTTATTCCACTGTATTCAGCTGGACCGGAAGTACCTGTCACCCCTGTTGCTGGCTTATGAAGACAGGATGAAAGAGAAGGACGAGCTCATTGCCACCCTCAAAGTAGGTTAGCAGATGTCTCAGAAGAGACAAGGTCAAGGCTTATAAGGTTTTGAAGAAATGTTTTTATGGTGGGTAAGCCCAGCATATAGTAGAGTGTCAAATGTTTGTTAAAGAAGGGATGAGTGCAAGGCTGGCAGCAGAAATGAGACAGGGGAAGTTACAGGCAATGGTTTGTGCAGTTGAACAGCTAGAAGCATATATGTCTGATTGCTTTGTGAAAAACGTTCGAAGTATCTTGTTATTTAAGATTCTCACCAAAGGGCAGGACAGGGCAGGATCATGGAGCTGACTGAAGGCTGAATGAGAAATATCAGTGTGGAGGTGGCCTAGCGGAAACATTGGCTGACTTCCTCGAAAATTAAGAGCTAGCAATAGTGCCCTCACGTTGGTCTGATAACTGACCATCTCTTGCCGACTTCAAATAAGAGAGGCCTTCCTGGGAGCTCTGGTGGCCTGGCCTGTAAGGAGTTGCCGCGGGCTGCTGCACTCGGGAGGGGCTGCAAGCCTGGGGTCTAGGGTCTCGAAGAGGGAACACGAAGGTGGGTAGAAGTTCGGCGGAGGGGCGGTGAAAGAACACAAGACACACAGTCAAGTGATCTTGATGATTTTAATTGTAAGTCATTTTCATTCTTCTTCTTTCTTCCCTGCCTATTGCATTTAGCATGATATATTTATATCCCATTTCTACAATTAGGGGCTTAACAATAGCCAAAAAAACCCAACAAAAGTAAGAATAAAGTTTACATTATTTTTTTGCACACAGCTATTCTTTATGGTCACGGTTCCTTGGTAATTGGAGAGCTTGGTAGACAGTGGCTTTCCTTGAAGTTTTCGCCTCAATCGGGTGATTTTGTCACGCAGACTCCCTTGGAGTTGGTGTGACAAGGAGTCATACTGCTGACTCAAATGCTATGACTCTGCCACTTTGAATCCAGAAACTATTCCCTGGGAGAAAGATGGGTAATCTTCTCCTGCGCAATTTACAGCAGCTGTTGAGTCAGTTCATACCTGAGGGCAATGACTGACTTTCGTGGCACAAAATGAAGAGATGCTGGTAAACCCCAACACTAGTCCTCCAGCCACCAAAATGAGCTTTAATTGAAGATGAAAATGTCGTAGTTTTATCCTAAAAAGTTAATTTCTTCTACAAAATTTTGAAACAAATTAAAATTAGTATTTACCATCATCTCTGCTGCTTCACTCCCCTCCCCTTTTTAAAAAAAGTATCAAGAAGTTATGGAAAATGTGGTAAAATAAAGACAAGCATATTAAAAACCTGGGTTTCTCTTGACCTTGTACTTGGTGTTGCCTCTTGTCAGTGTCCAGCGTGTGAACAGGCACGTGGCACTGGTCAGGCTGATGTTTAGAAGATCTGCTTCCTAACATTTGCTCTTAACTGTAGTGACAGTATACAAATGGGGAAAAAACCAACCCATAGATGTGTATCCTAACATTTACATGTGTTCTATTTCAGGAGGATATGAAGGCGTTTAAGATTCGAGTCCAAGAAGTCGTGAAAGAAAATGAAGAATTACATCAAGAGTTGAATAAGAGCTGTCCTGTTAGCAATAAGGACTGGCAAGTGGTGGTGTGGTTTTTGCTATTTCTCTAATTAAAAGGGATCATAGGGATAAACGTTATTAAATAATCAAATATATTTTTTAAACTATTTTACTAGTGCTTCTAAGACATCAATGCACTAAAATCCCCGTCACTTATGCTCAATTTGTTTTGAAGGTTGCTTTCATTTCCCAGCTTTTGTGTTATGAAGTTGTCTTTTTCCATGGTCATCTTGGCTGTCCTGAACCTGTTGATTCACTTTCTTTCTTAGAACTCTGTGGCTGTCCTCAGGAATTGAGAACAGAAAGCCTGTCCTTCAGTGTGTGGATAAGGCCTTTCAGCCCCTGACAGATCCTTCCTCCTAGGGACGCTGCCCCTCCGATCTGGAAGGTCCTTCCTGGGCCCCTGCTCAAAGGCCATTTGTCAGGAGCTCTCTCTGTATCTCTTTCTGACATAGTCCTGTGTCTGCCACACTCCCCGGGGTCAGGCCCGTGTCTTACTTTTTTGTCACTGTATGGATCCAGCACAGCAGGAACAAAAGCTCATCAAATGAGCTCCCTCCCTGTTTCGCTCATTCCTGTTGAGTGGGTTCCAGCTCACAGCTTTCACAGGTTTCATAGGCTGTAACTGCTGTGGGAGGAGACTGCCTGTCTTTCTCCCTTGGGGTGGCAGCTGGATTTGAACCACCTGGCTTTGAGTTGGCAGTGTACCTCTACTATGCCACTAGTTGTTGTTTGTTGTTGCATACCATCAGGTCAGAACTGACCTGTAGCTGAGCCTCCGGTGAGTTTTTGGAGGCAGTAATTCACACAGAAGGAGACTGTCCCATCTTTTTCCTGTGGATTAGTGGGTGGATTCAAACAACATGCCTTTTGCTTGGCCACCATAATGTCTTTATAAGGTTAAAGGTAACATCCAGAAAAGAGCAAGGAAACAAAAATTATTCAGGCATGTCTTTGCTTAGATAGGTATGTTAACTTAATTTTTTTTTTTCTAAGTCTTCCCATCATTGAAAAAAAATGAAAGGGCTCTATTTGCAGCATCCAGAATTCTGAGAAGCAGCTTTTTAAGTTGGTCTCTGACTTCCTGGTGTCCTGATGGTGTAGTGGTTAAAGAATTCAGCTGCCAGCCAGAAGGTGGTTCACGCCTGCGGGTCATGCCTTAGAAGGAAGATGAGGCAGTGTGCTGTGAAGACCAGCAGTGGCAGAGGCCCTGCGAGCAGTTCCGCCTTGGCCTGAAGGGTGGCTGGGAGTTGGGATGGATTTGGTGGCACTGACTTAGGTTTGATGTGTCATTTAGGACAGAGCTAGGCAGCTGCTGGTCTGGGTTCACTGCAGCATTCTCTGATGAATTGGATTTTCATCCGTGAGGTCCACTAGTGTGCCCTACGTTGAACCCCCTTAAACAGCACCCTGGAAAATAGCTATTAGACTGGACCTCATGTGCATCCAACAGCCCTGCTGAGAATCTGGAACCACAGTGTGGGAAAATGGATTTGAGAGCGGGGCCTTCCCTTAACCCCATTTTTGGGTCATTTTAAGGAAGTGTAACCAGATTTGGCTTATGGCTGCATACAAAGTTGTTATTATGTGCATTGACTGCAACTCCATGGCACATAACATCAGCAACTTTGTATGTAGCCATAAGTCAAGCCTGGTTATATTTCCTTAAAATGATCCAAAAAGGGGGTCACGGAAGGCCCTGCTCTCAACTCCACTTTCCCACAGTGTTCCCCAATCCTGCTGGGCTCTGAGGTTGGCACACTCCTCTCCCTGGGTGTCTTGAGCAGCATTTGGATGGGGTGTTAGGCCTGTGCAATGCCTCTCGTGAGGGCACCTAGGCCTCCCTGTTCCTTGAGTTCTCCAGCTGGGGCTGGGGGCCGCCTGGGCTCCGCAGCATCACAGTCCGCAGGCAGATCGGCCACCACACGAAGCCTCTTGTGCTCTCGCTTGGCTGGCTGGTGCCCTGTACCTTCCCAGGTGTAGGGTCTCACACCTGTGTGCAGTACTCAGGTACCCTGCCCTCACCCTGAGTTCAGCAGAAGCATTCCACTTAGTTTTAAATAATTTCTCAGTGACCTTCTGGGCTTCAGCTAACTTCTTTATACATTATAGTTTTATATACATCTCTACATTATACATCCTAGCTCTCCCCGACAGACTGGGTGCCCTTGGACTTGATGGGTCTTCCTTTACATGACTTGTTTGTTGTTAGGTGCCCTGTGGACAGCAGATCCCTGCCCTATCCTGCTCTAGTCTCATGGTCTCTGTAATGCTCAAGGTCATTGTCACTGTGTCAGTCCATCTTGTTGTGGGTCGTCCTCTCTTTCTTTGACCTTCCACCTTTCCCATCAGGATGTCTTTTTCCAAAGACTGACCCTCCCGACCCACCCCCAAGCCCAACAGCCGCCCCAAGGATGTGAGGGGAAGGGTCAGCATCTTTGTCACTTTGTAAGAAGCACTGTGGTTGCACTTCATCCAGGACAGACTTGTTTTGTTGGCGGGACAGGATTGTTGAACAAAAGTTGAGGTTTTTTCCAAACTCATTTTAGAGTGACTATCCCATTGATTTGTAAGAAGGGAAGGAGGGAGAGATGAAAACTAGAAAGAGTAGAAAGGGAAGTCCAAAATGTAAACTAGGTCACAGAGGACCTGTTGCATTTGAAGCAGGAGCGAGGAAGCCAGACATGCCAGCCGGCCAGCCCCCGTCCACCATGAGTGCAGGGAGGGCACTTCCAGGAGCAAGGGAGGTAGTGGACATAATTGACCCCGTACACCTGTTTTCTCTCTTTGTTGTGCCTGACTTTCTTACATAGAAAATTGAGATATTTTGCTGGTTTCTCTTGCATGTTGGGTGGTAAACATTTAGTTCCCTGTTCCTTGAGACAAGGGAAGGTCAGGAAGGCGAGCAGGGCTAGGGTTGGCTTCACGTCATCTGTAAGGATTTGCTCATGGAAGGGCAAGCCTGCAGGGCCCAGTACAGCCAGAGAAGCCATTTCAAAGCTTTGGAACCATTGTTTTTTGCCAGTTATGTGACTGGTAACAAATGCAATTTTTAAATCCTGTCTGAATTTTCTAAACTCTTTGGAAAATAATTCTTGTTGGCTTAAAAAGAAAACAGTGGATAGAGAGGATTGGAGATACACAGACAAAAAATTCTGTTTACAAAGAATTTAAACAGTTGTATGCATGAGAGTGTATTCTGTTATTCTTACTTTTTAAAAAAATACTGATTTATTAACAAAGTTCATGTACATTGTTTTTCACACCAGATCTTTCCTATTTTCTTCACCCCCCCATCAAATTGTATCACCCTATAATTCTCCAAAGTACTGAAAATCAGTGGTGTCTCTCTGGAGACTAAGGTGTGTCTGATACAGGCCATGGTCTTTGCTATCACTTGTTATGCATCACAGAGTTGGACAATGACTAAGGAGGATAGAAGGAGAATTGATGCCTTTGAGCT